GAGTTGGAGGTTGCTGTGAGCTGTAATGCCATGGCACTCTACCCAGGGGGACAGCTTGAGGCTCTGTCTCAAAAAAAAAAAAAAAGAAAGACAGATCAAAACAGATAAAAACAGGAGCAAACAGACAATGCAAGGAGAAAAAAAAAATTATACATCATTAAATTTCAGAGGGATAAGGGATATTTCATCTTTGAAATGAAGAACAGAATGCTACAAAGAAAATTCTGACAATGAAAAACAGCTCTTGCAAACTGAATACAGATGAAATTTTTGAAAACCCAGTAAGACAACTAAAAATAAATTTGATAAAAGACACAGAAAATAAGAGAAAAAAATCAGTATTTTTAGAGGTTCTAAGAGAACCAAACCCATACCTCTTAAAAATAATTGTAGCATGAGAAAACAGAGAAAAACTGAGAGAAAGAACTAATTTTTTCAATTTCTCAGAACTGAGGGAATTGCCAGAGGTCACTGAGTACTCAGCGTGTGAGTAACAAAAGAAACTTATACCAAAACATTGTGACATTTCAGAATATTGGGGACAAACATAAGACTCTATAAGGATCCAGAGAAGGAAAAATAGCTTGACTCAAAACTCCAAGACTCAGGTTAGAGCCCCAAAGATAACAGGACTCTTTGAAATTAAAAGAAAAAAATTAATTTGGAATTCTATATCCAACCAAACTATCAATCAAGTAAAAATGCAGAATAAGGATCGGAGCCCATAGCTCAGTGGTTAGGGTGCCGGTCACATGCACCAGGGCTGGTGGGTTCCAACCCAGCCTGGGCCTGGTAAACAACAATGACAACAACAACAAAAATAGCCGGGCATTGTGGTGGGTGCCTGTAGTCCCAGCTACTTGGGAGTCTGAGGCAAGAGAATTGCTTAAGTACAAGAGTTTGAGGTTGCTGTCAGCTATGACACCATCGCACTCTACCCAGGGCAAGATAGTGAAACTCTGTCTTAAAAAAAAAAAAATACAGGATAAGGAATTTTCAGATATACAAGAAATTACATATCTCATCCCTTTTTCAGGAAGCTGATGAAGTATGTGTTCCTTCAAAATATGAGGAATTAAACCGAGTAAGAAGGAAATATGGGATCTAAACACCTGGGCATCCAACATAGGGAAAGGTAACATGATTATCTAGGGATGATGGTAAAAGGAAATTTCAAGATGGTAATGTCTGTGTGTCAAGCCTAGAGTATAACTCTATCCTAGATTGGAGCAGGCCAGAAAATTTTAGGAGACATTTCCTCAAAAAACACCTCCCCCCCAAAAAAACCCTTAATATGTTTGGATATATGCTGAGAGATTTATATAATATTGTCTCATTTTTTGGCTCAGTGTCCATAGCACAGTGGTTACAGCACCAGACACATACACCAAGGCTGGTGGTTCAAACCCAGCCTGGGCCTGCTAAACAATGACAACTGCAACAAAAATAGCTGGGTGTTGTGGCGGGTGCCTATAGTCTCAGCTACTGGTAGGCTGAGGCAAGAGAATCACTTAAGCCCAAGAGTTGGAGGTTGCTGTGAGCTGT